ACAAAAGAGAATACCAAGTATGAAAATAACAGCGCCACTTATGATCAGAGCTGAAGTTTTGGTTAAACACCCAGCAATAAAGACTGCAATTCCTCCGCAACTGGTAAAAAAAGGAAGCAAAACTATACCCACGACTCGCACCAACATGTCTAATCTGGAAGAGGACTGGAAGCAGTTGCTACAGAGGCCATGGAACCGATGATGTCGGGAGTGATGGCCTTGGTTGGGCCTACAAATGGGAACCCTCACTGAATGCTCCTCCCTTCCCATTGTCTCACTGAGTCGTGTTAGTCCATTTGAAGTCTTAAAAGAACTTTGGAGTGTTAAAAACAGGCGTCTATTTGCTCTGTTTTGACGTTTTTGTGGGCTAATTTCTCTACAGCTGGAGCACCTCTGCGGGCCTGTTGTGCTTAGCAAAGCTTCACGCGTGATCGGCGAGGTGGTATTGTTTGTTTACTTTGATTAGTGGTAAACAAGTGGAAAAGACCCTCAGCGGGGTATCAAGATAAAGTTAACAGATGATCGAAATGATTTTCATTACTCTATTACATTAACCTGGAACAACAGCTAGGAGTGTTTTGACTGTCTCTGTAGCGGGCGCTTTCGAGGAGCAACAGACCTAATAAAACTATTAACAGTCATCTTCAAAGTAGTTTAAGAGTGCTTAGAGCCAATGAGGCCCTATTCCGTATATACTGGATCAGTACAGAATTAAGCGAGTATGTGCAGTGAGGTTTTTAGCTACTGTTGGGAACGGTGACGTGTGTTTAGGATAAGGGTGCGGTTTGAGCCCCTAACGCTGTTGAAACGGAGTATATCACAAAATAAAACAAACGAAAATAGGTAGTTTGTATACTTAAAGGACTTTTCAGCAAACTTTGTTTAGAGATCAATCATTTTAGGGCAAACGAGCAAAGGATGTTGTCGATAATGAATGCCACTCTTTGATAAAATCATGGAGGTGAAAGATGCCCTGATAAAGACCTACTCATGTCTCCGTTATCTCAGAAAATGCAAACGCATGTATGCTTACTTCTATTCCTCACACTTTTGCATGCTTTTCTTTAATAGAGCACTTTTTAACCCCAATTTCAAAATCGAAACAAACATACACATTGATAGAACTAGACAAGATAAAAATACACATTATATAGAGCGACAGACTTGAGTCGGCTAAGAAGACAAAAGTCTGTAAAGTGCTCAAGAATGAAGGATATAAGGTCTTTTGATATTTCGACATTTTTTTTTTATCTTTAATCGGTGAATTTGATGTACATTTTATTTCTCTTCAGCGACAGTGTAGGGCATGCCCTCATCGCAATCTCTGATCGTAGACTAAACTGACCTCAGTTTTACTTAAGTTTCATTTGACGGCGGATAGGTTTATCTGGCGATCATAGCCTTCATGATATCAGATCATGGTTAAAAGAGCTATGAAAGGGGCTCATGTTGGCAATCTCTTTCTGGCTCTCTGTGCGAATTAACAATTTTACAAGCAATTACATTTGTAAAATAATGCACGTGTAGCGTTGAATAACACATCAGAAATTTTGTACGTTGCCATGGTGACTGCAACTCCAATCAACTTGATATCTCTGAGTTATTCCCTATAAAAGCTGTCTTTCCAAAAATGCAAAAAGAAAACACCAACCGGCTATTTTCTATCAAGTTTATCTTCATTATAAGACATCTGATAGAGGAACAGACAGTCGGTATATGCAAATAACAAAACAATAATTAAGAGCCCATTGATTGTGGCAAAAACCGCAAGCCACAATCCTTTGTTTTCAATCTGCTACCGTACCTGCATCCAACTGCCGTAAAATCAATGTCGAGTTTGTGCCATGCACAGATCATCATCGGGAAAATTGGCAATTAACAAATATACGATGCGCTTGATATAACTTACAAACCGGCGTTCACCCGGTAAATAAGACCGGCTAATCCTTCAAGACGATAAGACTGGTTACACATCACAGCCAGAAACCTGAGTGCACCAAATGAAGATTTGATGAATAAAAATCTCTGAAATGAACTGGCAATGAAATGAACTGGAACTTATGTGAAACTGAAAAAGCTTTAAAATGTAAATGCCCGAGAGGGTGGGCGCAGGGTGAAGCAGTTTGTTCCCGGGGGGGTTACTTGGATTAATTTTTGTTGGGTATGTGCCGCTGGCCTTTCAGAACCTCCACTGAACCCCTAATGAACTGACACACTCGGTTAAACTTAATGTGGTATAAATCTTTCTATTTTTAAATCCCTAATAGTCAATGTAGTCGGGAAAATGCGACCACATCCAGCGGCACGTTAGCCGTTTACTAGGAAGTAACCCCCCCTCCCTTCGGGGTTCCGCTGGACTGACCGTGGAACCCGTAGTCTGCTACACAGTAGTACTTTGTGTCGTCTGTGGCAGACTGTGGAACCCATGACCAATGATAAAGAAATAAACTGCAAAAAAACTGTGGACGAAGATGCTGCTGGTCGTCAACGTTGAAGAAGAAGAAGAGAAGAGATCATATTTAAAACCAACAACGAGACGTCCACAGACTAATGTAAAGGTGATAAAAACGTACATAAAAAAGGCACTTTATTTGAGTGTCAATTTATTTAGCACGAAAGTGCTAATTGGGTACACTATATTTTACTCCATATTTTTTTCCTAATGGAGACGGGACCGCTATTTTACGTGGTCATCTGAGCCACGCGAAGGTCCAGCCGCCTGCGGGGCAAAGGAAGTACCTTCACTGTTCTCAGTTGTTTTAAGACCCTGAGTATTGGTCCGGCCCCGGGAATCGAACCCGCGACCTCCCGCTCTGCAGTCAAGCGCTCTACCGACTGAACTAATCCTGCCGCGGTTAAAACCTTTCTCAATGATAGTTCGACCAGCCTTTCTCAATTCTAATAAACCTTTCTCAATGATAGTTCGACTAGCCAGACAAGCCTTCTTCTGGTTCATAAAAGATTAAATACGATTGGTTGATAACTGGTAATAGGCAGAAACGAACAATGAAGAACTCCTGTATAAGACATAAACAGATTTTATAACAATACTCGTTTTTTGGTGACGAGCGGAGTGTTGGCTTCGTCGACCTGCTAGCTCACCATCGATATCCTGAACAGTGATTTCGTAGGTTTCAAATGGCAAACTGAGTAGCGTTAAATAGATTGTAGAAAAAAGCAATTTCAATTAACTTCTTTGCAGGGTTTTTTCCTGACCTTTTCCTCTCTTAACCTTGAACCGTTTCTCTATTTAAAAGCGGATAATATTGTGCCCATGTATCAATACACAATTATTGACGCTTTGCTTGTTTGCATGGCAAAGCCAATATTTTATGTTTGCCTCACGAAAAAATAAGACAGCTATACAGGACAATTTTTTTTGCGCCCTGATGTTCGTCTAGCAAAACACCTTTCGCCATTACATGTTTTACATGCAAGCCTATCATGTACTTGCTAAGCGCGAAAAACTGAATCGTCTCATGTGACGCAACTGGGGGCGTGAGCCATGAAACCAGTAGATGAATTTTATTTACATTGGAAAGGCTTGCCTGTATTAAGTTAAAGTGGTCATTTATCATTTCGTTATCTACTTCTGTCATCCTTGGCTGACTCTGCTCAAACCTGAACCACTAAACTATTTAAAAGTTTTCATGCGTCCGCCGAGTCATGATTTTTCTTCAGGTCCCGGCTTTGTTTAAACCTTAAAACGGAACCCTTCCTTCACGATCTGCCTTGGTTGTTTTATAGCCAGGCTACATTGTTAAGGAAAAATTTAGTGCTGAATAAAACGGGTAGACGCCACTACCCTTAAAATTCACTTGTAACAGAAATGGGCCCTTTAGGGCACAAAAAGGCCGGTTTTCGTGTTTCGTGCTTTTGGCCGCATCCACGATGATCATTATTCAATTTTCTAACATACTTTGACCTTGCGATCTGTATTTTAATACAACGTAATTAAATATTTCATCGTATCAATGCAAATCTGCCCCTGGCATTGGGATAAACACATCCTTAGTCACGTTCAAATTTGCCAGTGATTCAGTGATGTCGAATTTTTAACAATTTGTTGCCAGTTCTAGGAGAAAAAGAAGAAGAGAAGATGGACATGGAGCTTCTTTGACTCTTCCGTGTTTTATTATTATTAGTATTATCATTATTATTATTATTGTATTATTGTTATTATTATATTAATTGCTTCGCTCAGGCTCTTCTCATGTAATATGATGAGTCTTTTTGTCTCAACAGTCCAACTAAACCCCCAGCATACTGACAAATGGGCTCACTTGCTCACTTGTGCGCCGTCAAAGCAGAAAAAAAAAAAGCTTTCCTTTTTATAATGATTTCAGTTTTCTTTTTTTCGCTTTTGTATAAATTATACCGCAAGCCTTAATTCATGTATATCTACTAACACAACTCGCCTTTGTACGGGCAATGTGATAGAGAAACCGGAACAAATAGGTGAGGTATCACTTGATGGGGTCACGCTATTCAACGGGGGTCGTCCGTGAGTTTTGTTCGACTCCTCCGCTAAAACGTTGAAGTGCCTCCCCAGTCTTGATTGTGCAAGTAGCAATTTCTCATAAAACCTTCGAGAAAATGAAAATATATATGCTGCTGTCGGAAAAAAGATGTTCCGCTGTTACAATCGTTTTAAAAAATATATCGTGATACATTTAGAGTAAAGCACTTCAAACTGTCTTCATTTTAGGACTTTTATTCCATGTTTTTTTACATTTTCATTACAGTAATTAGCATGATAAGTGACGTCACGCACCTCACGATTGGACATTGCGTTATATTTATAGTGCTCTGTCGTTTCCGCTGCAGTCTGGACTCGACAATACGAAGGAAAACTGTAAACATTGCTACGGGCAAATAATCGTAGTTTTGTTAAGAACACGTGCTTGCTGAACTCTTCCCAATTCGAAGAACGCATGGAAGCAGCTGTGGTGAAAGCTGATGTATGCGAATTGTCGATTTGAAAAAATACAGGAAAGACAATGCCGTCGGGGGAATATGTAAGTCGGCCGTCGGAGGATTCGCAGCCTGTGACTTCACGCTCAACATGGCATGATTTTCGGCGATGGAAAACCCCCACGCAACTTTTTATGATATGCTTATTACCATTTATTCTTATCTTCGTGGGCTGTGTGTTGATGGGGCTCGTTTGGTCGGAAAGAGTTGAGTCTTCTCGACAGATTGTACTCACGTGCGGAATGGTATCGTTCTTCTCCGGGTTCCTTACGTGTGTGATCGCAAATTTCTGCGATGCATGCGGGCTTACATGTATGCGATACGATGAGCCCTTGGAGAGTGAGGTGCAGAACCAAACTTTGTTCGTTGATCTGGGAGACTTAGGACCCAGCTTGGTTGATCAGGAGGAAAACTTAGCCGGTGACAGTGATAAGTCGGAGGTTCAAACAACGCTCGTTGAATTAGAAGAGAATACCGCCGGGTAGTTAAGACGTCGTCTCTTGTTTTTCCCAGGCTTATTCTGGAATAATCGATCACGCAAGAACACAATAAGAGAGGAGATGGAAAGAAACGATTATACCAACTTGTTCCCGTAAATATTATTAACAAAAGTGGAAGAAACGGATTGAAGTTTTGGGCCCCCTTTGTTTATTGTCGTTGAAGTTTGATATTTTTGCACACGGCATTGCGCAATATGACTTCGTTTCTTTGTCTTGAAAGCCAAAGACAAAACAATTGCGTTTTTTTGCGCTGTCCGTGTCACACAAGAAAAACGAACTTTCTTGGATAAGATAGAGTTCGATGTTACTTTTCAAAGCCTTGAAAGAGAAGCAAGTCATAGTGCTTTGGATTTTTCAAGCACGAAACAACATTTGAACAATACAAAATTGTGAATAAATTAGCTTCCTGTTTTATAGGAAATTTCATTGTCACGTTCGTACTAGTGTAAAATATTTTACTTCCCAGATAATTTTTACCTTGATAATTATTGACTGCGTTAGATTTGTTAAGTTGTGTTCTCAGCTTCCACAAAGTGGTTTTCCTTTCATGTTTCTTGTTCGTCCAGCTTCAGGTTTTTTCCTCTGTTATTTGCAAAGCAAACAACGGAAAAATTTGATTTGAGAGGCTCTTTGCAGAGAATAAAATTTCCATATACTGACTCTCTTATATACGCAGAGAGTAAAATTTCCATAACCAAATCTAAAAAAGGTTTCATTCTTAAAAGAAATTCTTTAATAATTCAAAGGTTGGAAAAAGCGGCATTGTCTTATTTTCGCATCGCTGGTTCACTGGATGAAAGTCGTTTGGAATTATTATCTGTTTTGCTTTGTGCGTTGTTATTTTTAATGTTCTGTAAACTTCAGATTTTCGATTTTAGCAGTTAAGGGAATCGTAAAACAACTACACATTCAAACTTGCCCTGGCTAATAAAAAAGAGTACTTAAAGTTTTGAAAGCAATCTTTGACTTCAGTAAACGCCGTACTTATGACAATACCAGGATTAGAATTCATAGCTTTAATAAATGCCCTTTTTCCAGTTGTATATATTGAAGAATATAGCGCTATCTTCACAATGTGTTTTCTTGATTCTTTCAAACTTTTAAATGCATGAAATTCATGAAAACGTACACGGAATGGCTATTGCAGCACATTTTCCCTGTTTTTATTTGTCCAATCGTGTTTCTTTTTATCCTGAACGAAGCTCTGATTCAAGATTTGTGACTGACTTGGCTTTATAGGGGTAGTTTGATTGTTTTTATTTCCTTAGGGGCGGGGGAGGAAGGATAGCAGAAGCGTAGCTTACTTTAAGCTGTTAAGCACGGGCTTAAAAAAAAAACAATGGGGTTAGCTCAAGTAGTCGCATGTTAAAGACAAATAAGGCTGTATTATTTTTTGCCTGAAAGAGCCCGTCTATGAGAGCTCCCTCACTCATGATCAAGTCACCTTTAAATTGAAAGTGACTTGTTACTTTGTCCTCAATCCCCGCCCTACCTCTCTTCAGGAATTCTAGAGTCCGTTCGTTGACAACTCACTCCTTATTACTCATTTAACGTAACATTCTACAGCAAAAAGGAACGGCTGCTGTGCTGTAATTGTTTCCCGGGGGGGTACTCCCATATATGGGCTATATAGGTACGAGCCGCGGAATAGGGTATGGTTTTTGAGGTTCTCAGTCCTTAAATAGGGTATCTTTCTTGACCCTTTTATTTCTGTGTCCCTGGTGTGGTCCTTAGATAGGGTAGCTTAATTGTATTATCTAACACTGGAGTGTAAAAACGCCCGCCTAAACGAACGGTTTTCTTTAAACTTGATGTATCCGTTTAAGTATTAACAAAATGAGGTTTAATAGCCGTTAAGCGGGTAAATACACGTAAATACAGAGAGGAAATAAAGTTTTTCTTTCCATGCTATTAATAATTTTGTTTTTTCCTTGAATAGGGTGTCATTTTTCGGCTTTGGGCCTTAAAAAGGGTATCAGTTTTCGCTTTCTTAGTCCTTAAATAAGGTTAGGGTTCACGAACCTTCGCGGCACACCCCTATCCAAAATTCGCGGAAGTACCCTCCCGGGAATTGTTTATAGGGTCAATGTACATGAACTTTGCCTGCACGTACTCCCCACCCCCGCCCCCGTTAGTACTTATACAACTCAGGCTTAAAAGATAAAAGGTTGGCTATGCCCCTGAATCGGGTTACAGTGGCGGATCCAGGCCAGGGGAGGGGGCCTGGGCCTCGCCTTATTTTTAGACCAAACTGAGGCCCCGAAGACCCCGAAGGGCCCGAGGAAATGTTTTCGGAGACCGCGCCACCCTTTATCTAGGGGTCTGGATGACCGGTCCCCCCCCACCTCAAGGTCTGGATCCGACACTTGTACTGGGTTATATGTGAGAATGAAAGAGATGAGGTTGGAACTGAATGGGTATACAAACTACGAAAGCCGAGGAGGGTCTTCGGACTTCTGACTTCCGACTTCCGACTTACGACTTCCAACTTCTGACTTCCGACCGCCGTAGCAATAAAAGCAGGGGCACCCAACGAGAATATAGTTCAAAACCACTTAAACATAGCATTGTTAAACGTATTTTAGTATTTAAACGGTAGATATAGGCATAAATTAATCCCCTAAAAATTTTTCATCTGTTCGGATTTCCTAGCTGAAAGACTAGTGATCCGAAAATCATAGGGATCAAAACTTACCTTTTCGAAAATTTCAGCCAGAAAAAAAGGCTCCCGAAAATTCTAGGTGACCTTTTTAGGGCAAAAATCCGTTAAAAATGGGCAATTATACAATTTTTAGATGTTCGAAAATCCTAGGAGAGGCAGGCAAGCAAGAAATTGTACAACAAATGTTCCGAAAATTCTAGATCTCAAATCGTCTTCCGAACAGATATTTTCCGAAGATTGACGTTGGGTGCCCCTGTAAAAGGCGGTAGTAGGCCTACACGACTTTTACCTTATGTCAAAATGCTGCTTGTTTCAATAACTTTTTTTCCTTCTGCTGGGTAGATTATGCCATGGAAGGTTCTACATTTTTTACTGAGCAAATGCGATCTTAGCCGCTCGTCTCACACTGAGAGGTCATGGCACACGTATTGATTTACAGTGGTTTTTGTTTCTGGTCTGCAGGATTTGCCCCCTGATGAAAGAGCATTTTCTTTGACCTCGTTTAAAGCGTAAGGCTTTTTATTACGGCTGATTAAGGCTCTAATTTTTCTCCAAAATGCCTTCTGGACCTGAATAACTAAGCGATTTTCTTTAGTCCGTGAATCTGCAATGTTTTATCACGATGGGCCCAGCTCGTTAGTTTTCTTTACAGTGTTAAATTATCACGGATAGTGATTTACAGATCCAAAGGTATAAGAATGAAGTGCAGCTCACAATGAAGCCGCATCTATTATGTAGAATTGCATTGTGACTCAGTATATTCCAGCTAAGTGTTTTTCTAGTCTTGTGACTGGAGCGGGTATTTCCTTCCTTGGTAATAGTTGCTTAGTTGCTTTTTCAAGAGCAAGTTTAGTCGTTCTCTTTTGAGGCGAGAACGGTACAGCCGTCCTTTCCACTGAGCTTTGACTTTGAGCATTAATACCCGCGTGGTGGATCGAGCGGCAATCGAGCCAAACAGAAGAGTCAAGTCAGAAGTCAGAAGTTGGAAATCAGAAGAGGGAAATCGGGAGTCGGAAGTCGGAAGTCGGAAGTTGGAAGTCAGAAGTCGGAAGTCGGAAGTCGGAAGTCGGAAGTCAGAAGTCGGAAGACCCTCCTCGGCTTTCGGAACAAACAAACAAGTTAGTTCGCTGCAGGGTCACCTGGTTGCGGTTATAGACTACCTGATATTTGTCTAGGTACTAATTATTCCCTTCAAATTATAATTTTCAAGAACTCCTAGATCCAAAGCCAATTTTCCATAATTTTAGACACCCCCACCAATTTGTATTTATTAAAAACATTCGAAAAATCATCCATAAATTGTCAAACATTATTGAACCAATGACTCCTTCCTGCTCCGACGCTATTGAGCCATTTTTTGGTTGAATGAAAACTTGGCTAGATTTTGAAGAAAAATGGCGAAAATAAACGAAAAACAGGCTTTGATAAAAATAAGAAACTAATAGTTAAAATAATAATAGTGGTGCTGAAGCGGGGGAAGTTGTGTAAAGGTGAAGGTATTAAGTTGATAAATGGGCAGACGATACTGGGTAGTTGATGACGAAGGTTACAAGTATCTGGGCATTCTAGAGTTGGACAAGTTTTAGCAGAGGGAAATGAAAGACATATTTCGAACAGAGCACTTATATAAAGGCGGTTCAAACTAGTCATGAAATGTCAGCTCAATGGTAACAACAAGATCAAAGCAACAAACACTTGGGCTGTGTCGTTCACAAGGTATGGAGCAGGAACAATTAAATGAAACTGAAGGAGGAACTTCGGGAAATAGATAGGAAGTCTAGAAAAATCATAACAATCAGTAAGGAGCTGCACCCTAGAAGTGATGACCGGCTCCAAGTTCAACCCTAACCCCGGACCGCTATGTCTCAAACTGGCTGACCTGGACGCATTCATCCTGTCTTGGTTTCTGGTCTCTGCAAAACCAACACTGACAGCCGAGCCTAGTAGAGAAATCGCTGTTTGCATCAGCAAGGTGTACAGGGGTGGTGTAGGGGGTGGGGGGTAGGGGGAGGATTTAGGGAGCCCTCGGGTGAGCCCTTCCCACAAGGCCATGTGATCCTATTTGGATCACGTTTTAAAGATGGCGCCAATTTTTGGAGAAGTGTTCCGTTCAACCAAGTACAGGTAAGGTATAGAATTATTATTTTCCAGCGCATAAATGTTTTTCCTGTATCAGTTATGGAAATAAAAGCGTTTTTTGTATTTAAAACCTGTTTTACAAGTCAGTGGACAGCTCTGAGTGAGAACCTTAGAAGCGATCGAGCTTCTAGCAGGCGGGTACATGAATGATTTAAATGGGCCTCGCGCGTGTCCTCCTCGCAGG